GGCACGTCAACCCCTTGCTCCCCTACATCAGGTGAGGGGCGGACGCGCGCCGGGCCGGGGGCCGCCGGGGGTTGCCCGGCCGGCCCGAGGGCGGCGCCAGGCCGGGCGGGGGGCGTGGGGAGACTGGGGCCAGACCCGGGGAGGGGTGCCCCCTCGGCCCGTGAGACAGGCCGGACCCGGGCCCTGTGAGACTGAGGTCCCACCCAGGGGAGAGGTGCTCTCCGTGGCCCCGTGAGGCTGGGATCAGATCTCCCGGGGGGTGCTCTCCGTGGCCCGGGAGGTTGAGGACACACATCTGGAGGAGGGGTGCTCCCCGCGGACGTGTGCTTGGTGGGGGGCACGACGCCCAGCAGTCTCGCCGGCGCTCTGAGCACTGCCCAGAGAGGCGCTCAGGGTGGGCAGCAGAACCTTCCAGCGGGGTGGAGGGTGGAATCTCGGGGTCAAAATGCTTCTTTGGAGACACGGAGACAAGCGGGGGTGCTGCTAGATGACGTCTGCAAGAGGCAGACCCTGGTACCACTGAGCCGCTTGCTACTTCTCTCCTGCTTGCCAACATTTTTGAAGTGGATGTCTGGGCTCATGTTTATGCAAGGAAGCGGAAGTTTAAAACCCGTGACAGGCCGAGTGCGGTGGCTCACGCCTGTAATCCCGGCACTTTGGGAGGCTGAGGCGAGAGGATTGCCAGAGTCCAGGGGTTGGAGACCAGCCTGGGCCACTGGACGGGACCTTGTCTCTACAAACAATAAAATTAGCTGGGCGTGGTGGCGCACACCTGTAGTTCCAGGTATTTGGAAGGCTGAGGTGGCGGAAGGATCGCCTGAGCCCAGCAGATGGAGGCCGTGGTGGCCGTGATCGTGCCACTGCGCTCCAGCTTGCGTGACAGGGTGAGACTCCTACTCAGAAAACAAACAAACAAAAAAAGCAGGGACTGAGAGGCTGAGGCAGGATCTCTTGAGGCCAAGAGTTAGAAACCATTCTTGGCAATACAGAGAGATCCCATCTCAATTTAAAAAGGGAAGAAAACTGGGCCCAGTGACTCAGGCCTGTAATTCCAACACTTTAAAAGGATGAGATGGGAGAAATGCTTGAACCCAGGGGTTCAAGACCAGCCTCGGTAGCAAAAAAATCGAAATATTAGCCAGGTGTGGTGCTGCACACTTGTTGCCTCAGCTACTCAGGAGGCTGAAGCAGAAGGATCGCCTGAGTCCAGGAGGTTGAGGCTGCTGTGAGCTGTGATCATGCCACTGCACTTCAGCCACAGAATGAGACCCTGACTCAAAAAAAAAAAGGTTAAACAGACGATAAAATATCATCAGCGTGACACCGATGACACGCTAGTAAATGGTAGAAGCGGGATGCAATTCTGTGTTCCCTCCAGGCCTGTGGGAGTTCAGCTTAAGACCCCTTGAAATCACTGCCCCTTGAAATCAGAGCCTCAACTGGTTGACATCGCGGGAAGAGGTGTCCCGTACCTCGAGGAGACTTTCTCAGGTGGGCTTGGGCTCCTGCAGGAACCTGGGCCTGGTTTCTCAGGGCACATCCCGGGCCTGAGTGCCATCAGCTCACTTCTGTTTCTGAAGCAGCGTGGATCTTCCTAGAGTCTAAAAGCGCTGTGCTCCCAGCTATGCTTCTCATAGAGAAAATAGCAGTATTTCAGTCCTGGATCTGAAGGGCAGGTCGGACAACCTGCGTTGTGCATCGACCGGGCTGTGAGAGGCAGGGTCTGGGTCTTGTACGAGTGTCTGATGTGGCAGTGACTGACGTCACCTCAGGGTGAACCTGAAATGGGAGAGGGTCAAAAATGGGGAAGGAGGCTGACAAGGTGAACCACTTGGGAGATACTCAGATAAGACACAGGAAGGACTTGACAAGCAAGGAGGCCTCCAGAAAGAGGAGAATCAGAGAAGAAAAAGGCAGCCAGGAGTCCGCAGGCAACAAGCAGCAAATACACGTACCGATTGCCCACGTGGTTCGGTGCCTGGGGCTTTGGGGTTTGCTCTCTGCTTACGTGAACGCTGGAGTTCTGACTTGTCCCTACCCCTCCTGGAAGGCAAGGTCCTTGAAGCAAAGGCAAGATGTAAATAAGAGCAGGACATGGAGAATTGATGGGCATAGTTTGACCTTCTCTCTATCTCTCTCTCTCTCTGTCTCTCTCTGTCTCTCTCTCTCTCTCTGTCTCTCTCTGTCTCTTTATCTCTCTCTCTCTCTCTCTCTCTCTGTCTCTCTCTGTCTCTCTCTGTCTGTCTGTCTCTCTCTCTCTCTCTCTGTCTCTCTCTCTCTCTCTCTCTCTCTCTCTCTCTCTCCTTCTTGTTCTCTGTTGAGATGGAGACTCACCATTTTGCTCAGGCTGGTCTTGAACCTTGGATTCAAGTAATCCTCCCACCTTAGTCTTTCGAGTGGCTGGGACTGCAGGCGCACTACCACCAAGAAAGGCTGACTTCACCTCTGATCCCCCCTTTCCTCCGCTCTACCCCCTCCTTGTCCTTCCCTCCAGCCGTGCTGGCCTCCTTCCTGTGTCTAAAACACAGCAGGCACATCTCAAGGCCTTTGCTTTCGGCTCCTTTTTTTTGAGTTGGAGTCTCACTCTTGTCACCCAGACTGGAGCACAGTGACACGCTGATGGCCACCACAGCCTTGACCTGCTGTGCTCAGGAGATCCTTCTGTTTCAGCCTTCCATGTGGAACTACAGATGCATGCCACCACGCCCGGCTAGTTTTTGTGATTTATTGTAGAGACGAGGTCTCACTAAGTTGCCCAGGCTGGTCTCGAACCCCCGGGGCTCAGGCAGTCCTCTCACCTCATCCTCCCGGAGTGCTGGGATTACAGGCTGAGCCACCACGCCTGGCCTCCTTTTGTTTTTTGTTTTTTTTGAGTTAGAGTCCCACGCTGTCGCCCAGGCTGGACTGCAGTAGCACACTCAACGGCCACCGCAGCCTCCACCTGCAGGGCTTAGGTGATCTTTCCACTTCAGCCTTCCAAGTAGTTGGAACTATAGGCATGTGCCACCACGCCTAGCTGATTTTTTTGATATATTGAAGAGAGGAGGTCTCAGCAAAGTTGCCCAGGCTGATCTTGAATCCCTGGGCTCAGACAATCCTCTCGCCTCAGTCTCCCAAATGCTGGAATTACAGACTTGAGCCATCATGCCCAGCCTTGCTTTTATTTATTTATTTATCATTTATTTTTTTTTTGAGTTGGAATCTCACTCTGTCGCCCATACTGGAGTGCAGTGGCCGCACCCCGCCACCGCAGCCTCGACCTGCTGGGCTCCGGCGATCCTTCCGCCTCAGCCTTCCACGTAGCTGGAACTACAGGTGTGTGCTACCACGCCCAGCTACCCGCCTTGCTTTTTGCTCTTTCCTCTGCTGGAACGTTCTTCCTCTAGATACCACCAGATGTTGTTCCTTACCTCCTTGGATCAAATATCATCCTCATTGCTCTGATCACCCCTTTAAAACCACACCACCACTCGTGACCTCCTATGTTCCATCCTATTATTCACCACAGCACTTATCTTCTTGTAGCAAATCATGTGATTTAACTGATTTTTTATGTTTATTCATCTGTCTTCCCTCCCTGGAATGTAAAATCCACAAAGACCCTCAATATTTGTTGAATGAATATTCTTTGGATACTCACTGTCTACGCCGGGGCAGGGCAGATCCCTTTAGGAAAGCTTGACAAGGCCATTCAGTCAGTGATTTGGAACTCAGGATGGAGTACCCTTTTTTTTTTTTAGTTGGAGTCTCACTCTGTCGCCCAGACTGGAGTGCAGTGGCCTCTCCCGGCCACCGCAGCCTCGACCTGCTGGGCCCCGGCGATCCTTCCGCCTCAGCCTTCCGAGTAGCCGGAATTACAGGCGCGCGCTACCACGCCTGCCTGATTTTTTGATTTATTGTAGAGATGAGGTCTTGCTGCCCATGCGGGTCTCGAACCCGCGGGCTCAGGCAATCCACTCACCTCAGCCTCCCAAAGGCGCGGGATTACAGGCTGAGCCACTGAACCCGGCTCTGGAGTACCCTTTTACATTCTAATGTTGTTCAGCCAATTCGATGGCCTCATGTTTTCAGCACAGGTGAGCACATTCAATAAGAGCCAAAACCTTGAGCAGTACCTCTCCCCAGTATGGCATTCAAAGTCAGCTTCCTTATCAGATATTTTCAGTATATTGAATAAGTTGGCAAATAGCCCTTAGACATACAGAAAGATGCCAGCTTCTTTTTTATATGTATTGGAAAATATAGTTTATTTAGAAAGTAAATTGGAGAGAAAGAGGAGTTTCACTTCCCCAAGGAAGGGAAGGGGGCAAAAACCAGGAAGCATGACGATGGCCATAGCTCAAAGAGCACATGGCCACACCAGAGTCTAGTAAGGCAATGGCCTAAAAGTTTAAATTAAAACTTATTGATGCCAATTTTCATCTACTGGATTTGCAGAAGCCCAAATGTTTGATATGATGACTAGACCAGGCTCGGTGCCTCAGCCTGTAATCCCAGCACTTTGGGAGGTCGAGGCGAGTGGATTGCCTGAGCCCGTGGGTTCAAGACCAGCCCAGGCAATTTGGCAAGACCTCGTCTCTACCAAAAAAAAAAATTAGCTGGGCATGGCAGCATGCGCCTGTAGTTTCGGCTACTTTGAAGGCTGAGACGGAAGAAACACCGAGCCCAGCAGGTCTGCCCTGGGGTGGCCGTGAGCGTGCCACTGCACTCCAGCCTGGGTGAGGGAGTGAGACTCCAACTCAAGAAAGAAAAAAAAAGCTGACTAGTGATGCTTTGGGGAAACAGGTTCTCTCAGGAATGGAAGCTGATTTCACTCTATGGAGGGATTTTGGCGAAGGAAAATTACACACATGCGCGTGTGTGCACACACACATCTTTTGATGCAACCACCCTTCTTGGAAATGTATCCTATAGGTATGCATGCCTGTGTGAAGAATGACTTATCCACAAGATTACTCACAGCACTGCTTTGAATAGCAAAAGATTGTCAAGAATACAAATACCAATCAGTGGAGAGCTAGCAAGTATGGT